TGTTGTGGGGACTCTTCTTCCCAGCACTGGTGACCCGAGCTGGGGAGCTGGGTGTGCAGCTGGGACCCCTTGCTCCTCAGAGGAGAGCTCTGTAGCCCAGATATTCCTCCTGATTCTTAACCACCACATGTGGGTGTGTAACCAGCCTGATTCATGTCTCCACCTCTCCTATCAGTCTCAATGTGGCTTCTTCTGTATATCCTTAATTATAGGACTTCTGTTTGGCTAGTCTTCAGGTAATTCTCAAGGGTGGTGGTCCTATAATTTAGTTGTAATTTTGATGCAATCATGGGAAGAGGTGAGCACAGCATTTGCCTACTCTGCCTCTTGACCAGAAGTAGAACTCTTTTCATAATCATTGAAAAACATCAGAATAGGATAAAAACATTAGTGCCCTAATAGAAAATGGACGAAGAACACGAGCAAAAAATTTACATAAGAAGTCAAAGAAATGCAATTTTCATGTCATAATGAGGACCATTTTTTCTTATCTTTTCAAGAAGATTAAGATATTGATAGTGCAGCCTAGGTGAGGTTGCAAGGAAGTGGTTATTCTTAGACACTTTCAGAGCAAATGAGTAGAATTCAACCTGAATTTTCAGAAGGGAAAAGCATTAACATATATTCCTTTTGACCAGGAACTCTTTGGGAATTTTTCACAAGGAAATAATTAAGTTGCAGGACATATTTCTGCTAACAAGGTTGATTTTTATCACAAATGTACTTATATTTCAAAATGAGAAAGAACCTAACGTTCAATGATAAAGAATTGGTTAAATAAGTTTTGATACAGCCCTCTGTTCTGTAACATGCCTGTGAAAAATGATAGTTATATATATGAGCATGGAAAAATAAGTGGTGTTAGTTGTCAAGACCCAGGGTCTGGAGTCAGAAGCGTGTTTCAATTTTGGGTGAGGTGTGTTGGTGGACTGACTGGAGGCAGAGAGGTAGCACAGCAGAGTGTCAAGAGTTAGGCCTCTGACATCACACCCTCAGGGTGTATCCTTAGCTTCCTCTTGGGCAGAGCTTAACTTCTCAGTCTGCACATCTGAAGTGGGAATAACAGTACGTGGCTCACAGAATTGTATTTGGTTTAAATGACATAATAGATGCACTTACAATAGCATTTGGCACATAGGAAGAGCTCAGTAGTTGTCAGCCATTATCCCTTCATCATTGTCATTATCACCATGTCCATCAATATTCTAGGTTTGAGATGTTTTTAGACTTGCGTTGAACTTTGCGCTCTACCAGTCACTTGCTGTGTGATTATGATCATGTCACTTTCTCTCTAGGCCTAATTTTTTTTTTTAACCCTGAGATCCAAATACCACTAAAACCCATTTCATAGGGTTGCTTTGAAAATTTAATGATACAATAAATGTTAAAAACTTAGCAAAGTGCTTGAGACATAATATATGCTCACTATATGATGCCTATTAGTATTAGTGTGATTCCATTATAAAGGGAAAATTTAGGTTACAAAAATCCAGTATAATCCAACTTAAAAAAAAATGTATGTGTTTGTGTGTGTATAGACAAAAGGTCTGGAAGGAAACCATAACTATCTACAAGTAGAGGGATTAATTCAATTTTCCTTTGCCTATCTGCATGTTACACATTTACTATAGTGAATTTGTTTGTTTTTAATTTGGAGAAGAGTGTTTTAATTGGTTAAGCTCTAAGTGATGGCGCTTATGTTCACACAGACCTAGGAGTAGGGAGAAGGGAGGATTGGCGTGATGGGAGGGAGCATGCAAGAAGAAGGTGATGAATGGAAGGTCCTTAAGAACCGGCAGACTGCTCCTCTTCTCATTTCCAGAGTCAAGAAACTCCTTCATAATATGCTCAGCATCTCATATTAACAGATGTTGTATGTTCCTATAATCTTCATTTAGTATTGCATACTAAGTTTGTTTCTTTTTTAGATTTTTTTTCTTTCTGGTTAATTGCTAATTAGTATCCTACCAGCATGCTATAAAATGAGTGCTGGTGAATGTCTGTTAGGTAGATTTTGCCAAATTATTGGGCACATAATTTTTAAAAAGAGAAACAGACGTCCACCCATGATTATCTCTTAGAAAGACTCCCATTCGAAACTCAAAGCCAAGGGCAACTCCTGGATAAAGAGATAAGCAATGACATACAGATATTCTTTTTTTTTTTTTTTAACAAAAAAAGAAAGTTCTAAAAACTTGGCCTGCCTGAATTGGCCTACAATTATTTAAGAACCACAAATAACATTTTAAAAGAATTTCTCTATCTCATTTACAGAGAGAAGTCAATTACTACCCATGTGATCTTGGGCAAATTACATAGCTTGTTATTTTCCTCATTGTACAATGGTGGTATTTATAGTCTGCATTCTAGGGTTGTTGAGACAAATAAATAAATGAGTAAACGAATGTGAAACATTTAACACATTGGTCCAGAAAAGGCTTTCAATAAACATTAGTAATTGTTAATTATAAGGGTGAAGATGAACAGGCACAGAGAACCTTGACTAGGTTCCGATTTCTAAGCCCTATGTTGTAAAAAGACTAGAAATGCCAATTTTGAGGAGAATTAAATTATACGGATGTTGTATTTAAAATTACTGGGGAGAGAAAGAAAGGTGGCCTGCCTTTACTCCTCTCACCATGGAAACCAGGCCTAGAAAACCCAGATGCACATTTTCTGATTTGGCTCCAAGAAAATAGTCCTTAATATGGAAACCCAGGGAACCTGCAGAATAAACCCATCAGACCATCAGGCTTGGGTAGTCCTTTTTTATCATTTGAGTACCGTGGTTTTTAGGCAAAAAATAGGCTGAATTATATGTCTATTATTTTAGAAGTGACAAAAGAGATTCCTCTCTTCCCTCTCCCCCCCACTGATAATTGGAAGCCAGGAAATTTGCAGTTATTAAAATATATCAAATAAAGCTCATTATTATTATTTTTTTTTGTCATGGAAGATTTCTTTCTCTTGGAAAGCAAGGTGGCCCTGCATGTAGGGGTTCTCTTTTCTCTCTTTAGTTGCAATGAGAAAGAGAATGAAATACTAAAAGAAAGTGGCTTTGTTCTTGCCCTTGACTTCAAGTTCAAATATTTTGCCTGTGAATTACTCTGACCATATGAAGCCAGTGCAATTTATTCCACCCCTGACTTCTTCCCACCAGTTTAACCAACAACATCATCTGTTTTAAGCATCACAACTAATTTGGGTAAAAGCAGGTCGTTTTTATTCTTCTCTCATCTGCTACCAACTATGCCATGTCTAGCCGCCTTTTTTGCTGAGTATTGGCTCCCTTGATGATAGCTTAGCCTAATAAATTTTAATCCCTTTTGCTTATTAAACTATTTAGATAACTTTAAAATCCAGTCCTGTGAATTTTAAAATTAATCTCATATCTGATTCAAATCTCCCTGACACCACTAGCCTGGACTCGCCTTGGTGTGGAGATAGACAACAACCTGGTTCTAACACACCTTCTGCTCCCTTTTCCAAGAGAGCATCATTTGTGTTAGAACACAGAAGAGGAAGTGCACAGGCACATGCCCTGCCTGCCCCTGCCTCAGGGTGACCTCTCTTCCATTGCTTCTAATAGCTGACAGAGCTCATGGTCTGCTGCAGCGGTTTGCAACCGTTGTCTGCATGGCAGAATCACCTAAAGAACTTTTGCACCACTCTACGCTTGAGGGTCATCTCCAGAGACAGACATAGTTGGGTTCTGTTGGGATTGGTGGTGTCTCCAATAAGCCAAGCTAACAGGAGCTTCCTTGCCTCCCAGGCTGTACCCGCTGGGCACTGGAGGAGCCCTTGTGAAACTGGACCACATCCTCAGGCTAATCCCCATCACATATACGCCCCCCCACACACACACACCCCACCCCACCCCAACTGCCTATCTCTGTCTCCTACTGCAATAGTTCCCAGCAAGACTTGACTCAAAACTCATCAACACACCATGGTCAACTCAGGAACCAATGACCAAACAGATATCATCCAGGAATGAAATGCCAGGCACCTCATCTCATGTTCATGCCCAGACTTGACAGATAATTCTGAGATCTGATTCACCTTGCTTTTGGAACAGCAGGGAGAGGAGAGGAAAAGTCCTTCATCCTGAATGCTGTATACCCCCAAAGGGCAGCAGCTCTCCCTTTATATTTCTGGGGATGCCGGGGGTGGGTGGGGTGGGTAGGGCTACTTATGCTGGAGTCGTGTCTGCACAGAGATGGCTGCCTCCAACAGCAGAACGTAGAATTTGTACTAATCTGTGTCTGTTAACACAATGAAATGTGAGACATTGTTGGTAATTTTGGCACCTAACCTCTACCCTTTCAATACCTTTTTGGTAAATTTTAGATCTTCAAGCAAAACCCAGTTTCTCATCTTTAAAAATGGAGAACTCATGGGATGGCTGTGATAAAACAAAAATTGAAATTGTTACTGGAAGGTACTTTGTGAACTTTACAGCCCTCTGCATATAGCACAGTATTCTGTAAATAATAATTAGAATAATACTTACACCACTAATTACCATTCTACTTATTATTGCATCTTCTCTGTTGATTTTTTTTTTAACTCCTCTCACTGGAAGGTAAGCCCCATGGGCTGGAGAATGTCTGGTTTGCTTACTACAAGCCACCAGCACCTGGCTACAAGTGCCCAGCACACAGAGGCAATTAGTCAGTATTTATTGAAATAATTAATATTCTTTGTTAGAAGTGGGTAGAAGCTATCCTAAATAACTCATAAAGTAATGTTTTCCAAAACATAATCTGTGGCCCTCCCAAATCAACATCAGATGGGGTGCTTGCTAAATGGAGAATCCTGAGGCTCACCTCAAACCGGTGAAACCACAAGCTCCCCAGGTAAAGTCAGGGGGGGACCGGGAACCGTCATTTCTAGCTGCAAGTCCCTACAGATGATTGGACCCATAATAAATGGCGTCTACAGGAATGAGCAACGAAAGCCTTGCTCTTAGTCATGACCGCCGTTCCCGACGCCCGTACCCATGTAAGGCTTGGTGCCAGCCACGGTGGTGATGCTCGTCTCCCTGGGCAGCATCGCGGCGATGTTGAAATCTGTGATGTGCACATGTCCTGGTGGGAGAGAAGGACCACAGAGAACGTTAAGTCCATTCAACCCAGTGGCACACCCACGATTCTAACCAAAAGCATCTGGAAGCTTCATCTGTAAATTCTTGTATGCATTTGGGCACTGGCAGTAAAAGCTCAACTATTCTGTCCTCAAGACCAATATGGTCTTCAACCAGCAACCTTCTTGCAGCTGGAACGTGATAGGCAAAGATGAGTGTCGGATTGTAAATCTGTAGTTCAACCTCAGAAAGTTTTAACTTTGGGGGTTAAGAGCTCCATGTCTTGTAATTCTACATAGGCGGTTATTGTCCCCAACATTTTAAGTTGGTATAAACTGTGAGTATCAAGAGGGAGGCAGCCAAGAGCTATTCAAAATATCGACTTTCCAAGGGCCTCTTAGGATCTTTTCTTTAAGAGACAAACACTTACTACAAAGCAGACAATGTGGATACAGCAGGTCCCCAAATAACGTTTCAATTCAAGATTGTTTTGTTATAATGTCGATGAGAAAAATGGATTCCCAGCGGGGGCCATGGTCTGTGTGGAGTTTGTACTTTTCCCCATGTCTGCACGGGTTTTCTTCCACTTCCCAAAGATGTACACGTGAGGTGAACTGGCGTGTCTGCATTGTCCCCATCAGAGTGAAAGAACAGGGGTGTGTGTGAGTGGCTCTGTGATGGAGGCGCGTCCTGTCCAGGGTGGATTTCCACCTTGCACCTCCAGCAGCTGGGACAGGCTCCTGCCAGTGTGACCCTGAACTGGAATAAGCGGTTTGGAAAATCGTTGTGTTGCTTATTTTTTTTATTAGGCTTTCTTAAATGTATGTATAGCTCACATTTATTTCAATAGTTAATATTAGAAATGTTTTGGGTCTTTGTTTAGAAGTTTGGCGATGTTTTTGTGACTAGAAATAAGCTGTAGAAGCTCAACTCTCATTTATATCCATTAGCCTATAGTAAAATTGGTTTATTCATAGTTGTTTTGTTTGAAGTTTCAGTTTCCAAGAATCTACTGTTGGTGTGAAGTGACGGCTTACTCTGTTTGCTAAGAAAGAATCCTTTTTTCTCCATGTTTTTCTGAAATATCATTAATAGTTTTTGTCTGATAGGTCAGGTTGCCCCCTGTTGATTCCCAACAAAACATCTCATCAAGGAAAAGCAGGAATAAGTGTAGAGTTTTGTTTATAAAGAGGCTGTATAAAGAGTCCTAGCTGGGAGCCCAGAGACCTGGTCCTACCCTGAGCTGTGCCCCTAACACATAGTAGATTTTAAGTCTCATTCCTGTGTTGAACCAAAGTTCCCCTTTATTTCTTTAAAAAAGGAATGGGTGGACTAGATGATATCTAGAGTCTCTCTCAGCTCTAACACCCGTGGCATTGTAGTGCGGGTCTGACAGTTGAGTTCAGCGGGGAGCACACCCTGCAAAGTGCATGAGGGTCCTTGCATTTACAGCAACCAGGAGGAAAGGGGCAGTACCAGCTCAGGCAGACAAGCTCATTGTGTTAGCTGCGGGCATGAAAGTCATATGCTTCCAGGAGATCTTGAAGTGTTGGCATTTCCATTTACATGCTTTTGTGGTTTGGATGAGATATGACTGTGATTGGATTGGAGGGGGTGTCGTCTGGTTCTTCTTCCATGTCCCACAGCTCGCACTCCCCTGGCCAAACTTCACTGTCTACTCTCTGATAGCATCCAGTCTACTGCTGAAGATAAATCTCACTGTCTTTATTGCCAGGGTTTGTTTTGTGCCCAAAGGGCTTTGTGTTTGTTGATGGGATGACATTTTAATAAAGTAAAAGCACACTCATCTAGCTGAAAGTGAAGGTTTTCTTGCCTGAATGGTACCAACAGATGATTTCCATAACTCACCCTATCATAGCATCCAGGTGGGTTCACACTTGGCTTTCTGACTCCCCATGGGTCGTGCTCGAGGCACTGGATAGGTGGTTTGCAAGGTATGATACAAAATAGGTGAGCCTGGAGGTACTGTGGTTAAGAGCCTGTTCTCTGGGGTCAGACTATTTGGCTTCAAGTCCAGGTTCTACTACTAACTAGCTGTGTTACCTTAAGAAGGTCAACTTATCCTCTCTGTGAAGTTGGGATAATAGTCTTCTTATGAGGTTATTAGGAAGATCGAATGAAATAATGACCGGAAGACACTCAACATCTGGCAGGTAGTGAGTGTTCAATTGTTTCTATTTGTCCTGATCAGAAACTCCAGTGTCACAGAGGAAGCTACACATGCTATATATAATTTAAGGATGCTGCCTGGCCACTTGATGTTTAGGCACAATTTGGGACTCTGCAAGGGAGGAGCTGTTAAGGTAGCTGACTTAGTTCTTCCTCACAGTCCCAGGTTGAGTTTGTACCTTTCTCTGTTCCCTGTTTCTAGGGATGATAATAAGAAACCTAAATTATAGATGATGCCATAATTGTCATTTCCTCAGATATACTATGCAGACATACTGCTCCTCTGGTTCCAGCATTTATTTCCTGAATAATTTAAGAAAAACAGAAGACTTTTAGACACTGTGGAATTGATAGAATTGGATGGGGTACTTAAATTGGTAGGATATGAAAATATATATCAGGACACTTGGTGATGAGCCAGCCAAGATCTAATGCCACCGTAGGCTCTGAGCTAGTGAGTGAGGCATTCGGGGAGCACAGTAGCAGGTATGCCCTAAATTAAAAACATTTTTTAAGTCAAATTCTGATGTACAAGGAGTGTTTGTTCATGCCGTGGCAAGATTCCCCATTTTATGAAAGGGATTTGGCTCGCTCCTTTGAATATTAGTCTTTTCTGATGAATATGAACCAATATGAATCAGTAAGAGTAAAGCAGCGTTTCTGCCTGTCACTGAATGGTGCCGAATGACATATAAGCAAAGTGGTATGATACACAGCTCACTGAGAGGAACGGGCACAGGAGGCAAATTGGAAATAGGCACTTATCCTTCACAGTTGTTAAATTTCGCACGTAAGAGGCGCATGTGATGGCCCATCGGGGGTGAAATATTTCAAATGGGGATGGAGAGGACAGAAGAGGGTTTCAGATATGAAAGGTGGAAAATCACAGCAGAAAGCCCTCCGGAAGGCAGGCATTGATTTGTGGTTCAGTAGATTCTCACAAGAGCAGCTCTACATAATGAGCTCAGGGTGGTGGCTAACCAGGGATTTATTCACCAAAAAGTGGTTAATAGTGGCCCCTGAGCAATGCCTGAAAACTGTAGTTTCTCAGAATCTGGATAAACAGAAAGTAAATAACCTCAAAAATTATTTTCTCCAAAAAAACAAAAGATTATTTTCTCCAGGAAGGGATCCCAGGACAATGTTTGGAGAATAGCTCTCAGTATCTGTTGTTTGTTTGTTTGCCTGCTTTTATCCTGTTCACATATCCTTCCCAAAGCAATGTTTCTTTTATTAACTGCAGCCACTCTCAAGTTGAGTTCCTGATGGGAATATAATACAGAAAAACCCCATCTTAATTCGTTGTCCAAACTCCAAAACTTGAGAGCAACAGGGGTCATTGTAACCAGTACACCAGATAACAGGTATAGCTGGAACTTGCCCACAGGCCGACTGGGGTCACTGTGCATACTCCCTCAGCAACTGACTTGCTCCAGCCCCGCCAAGACTAACATGCCCTGAGAAGCGGCGTTAGCTCCCTGCACACGTGAAGGAAAGCAGAATGGGCGATTGACAGTGTACCTGAGAATTAGGGCTCAACAAAATTGTTTAAACACAAGACCTAACAAGTAGACACCCAGAACCTTTGGTATATCCCTTCTGGAATCAAAATAATTCTTTAGTGAAGACAGGTAAGCATCCAACATTCACTGACTCTGATATAGACAAAGTCTCATAAAACAAGATGAAACCTCATGGAATCATACTAATATTTAACTTTGATTGAGTGATTTCCTTGTGGCAGAATTGCATGCAGTTCAGCACTTTATAAATAGTATGTCAGTTAGGCCTTACAATGACCCTAAAAAGTAAAGACTCTTTTGATCCCTGAAGAAGCTGAGGTGCAGAGAAAGTTTAGGTACCTGTTGGCACTCGCAGAGCTGGTGAGTGGGTCAAATGGGTTTGGAACTCAGGCGATCTGGCTCTAGAATCCATGCTCTTAGCTATTACACAATTCATCTTTCACAAGGATAGCCTCTAAGGGCGGTTAAACGTGAAGATAAATTTTTTTTGGACCTTTCTCCTAATCTACAATTACCAAGTGGACAAGACCATGAGGAGGAGAAAGAAGTTGAATGAGAGAGAACAGGATGGACTCGTGGTAGAAATAGGATGAAACCATGTTTGAGGTCTAAGATGAAAACACTGTTCTCTGAAACGGAAGGTAAACCTTGAACAGGTTTTGGTTGACAGGATCTGTATGTCTCCAGTCAGGGCCTGATCAAAAGGCAGGGCAACAGATTGTGCACAGAGGCATCCGGAGCAGGTGGGGACAGAACCCCAACCTGGGTTCTGCTTGACTAGCCAGCCATGCACCTTAGTAAGGCTGTGGTGGGCATACGGAGCACCTTGTCCTAAATTGTCCCCTATGGGGTTGGGGAGGCCCTCTCCACAATTGTGAGGCCCCTGAGAGTTTATCTGCACCAGGGTGAGAGAGGACCTTCCCTTCTGTTTAAGGCAGGGATAGCTGGTGTGTGAATGGAAGTCACTTTCATGTTAAGTCTCACCATTGCTCACATTTCCAAAATTCAGAGACTCGGTTCCCAAATGTCACACGAAGTAAATGGAAGAAAGAAATAAGGCGTTGAAAGAAAGTGGAAAAAAATCTTTTTAGACAGTCTGTAAATAAATAATGACCCTGAGCTTTGAAATGAGAGGTCATATGCCCAAGTGTTTCTTAGCCCTCTGAGCACAGACGGGGTCTGGCAAATCAGGTTTAAAATGCAACTAGGTAAATAAATAATGAGCAGTGGATGGTACTTGGAGTTTCGGTCCTACTTGCAAATCCCTTGTGTTAAAGTCCAATGAATAAGGAGCTTTGCAGATTTCACTATTCATCGAGCAGCTTTCTAAAAACAAAGGTCTTATTGCCACTGTAACATTTATAACTGGTAGGCTGTGTGTCCTCTAGGTCTACTCGGATGTCCCAATAAATCCAAATGTACATGAAAAGAAATATTAGGAAGACATTAGACAGATTTAGTCATTGCTGGCATAAGCTTGTTCAACAGGGTATCTTTAATCAGGGTTTGTTGAACTTCACGCATTCACTTTTCACCTTCGTGATTCTTGCCACATCACGTTCATATCTGGGTATCACAGAAACTGTCACCTCCTTTGTGTTTTTCTTAAAACTGCCTGATTTTTTTTAAACTGAAAGCGTCTTTGGACAGAAAACTTGATATCTCTTCTGCAAATGTAAAACCCCTCCTACGAAGGAAAGCATAAAAGTAGACAAAGAACAAAAATAATGTCACGGATTTCTAGGGAGATATTGCCTACACAATGCTCAAAGCTTGAGGCCTATTCTGTCATTATGAAAAAAGGGGAGATGATTGTTATAAAGATATTGGGGCAAACCAGCACCAAAAAAACTGAGATGGTTTTCTTAAATCAGCAGGAGTGGAAAGAAATTGAAGAGAGAATGACTTTCTCATTATGTAAATTCAATGTTTTTTAAGGGTGTATCGGTGTACTATGCCACTGCTATAAATCCTAGAGCTTCCCCATGTTGTCCCACCCACTTATAAAACGGAGTTTGTATATATAACTCAACTGAATCAAGCGAGATGCCTTTCCCCCATGTAACGCTCGTTTGCTGGGGATAATCAATTTTGTTCTACATGCAAGTCATGTGGATTGCAAACACATTATTTACTTACCATGTTCATCAAGCAAAATGTTGTCAGGCTTCATATCCCTAGGGGAATAAAAAGAAAAGAGGAAAGTGTTCATAATGAAACAAACACACAAACAGAACTAAAGGGTAAAGAGGAAAATGCTCAAGAGTGCTAAGTAGGGTTGAAACAGTGTACTGGGCCCTCATCACAATCTCACTCAGTTCTCACAGTGAACCTATGAGACGATTACCATGAATACCCCCAATTTCTAGATCAGAAAACTGAGGCTTAAAGAAGTTAAGTAACATAGCCCAGCGTCACAGAGCTAGCCAATGGAAGAACGGGGCTCCAAACCCAGTTCTCTCTCATTCAAAAGCTCAGACTCTTAATTTCTGTAGCATATGATACCTGAGCATGTAAGTATTGCTCTGTAGGGTCATATGGGGCCTTTACATTGTCATAAGATAGGATTACTAATTATCATTTTCATCCGTGTTAAGTCTGGAGTAAATATAAACATTCTATAAAATAAGAGAGAAAGGTCTAGAATGTGATTAGATTTTAAACCTGCAGAGATTAGAATCTTTTTTAGTATGATGCTATAATTCTCTACTTAATAAATCTTATCCCTGGGATAATTGATCAAAAGATTTGCGCTAGTCTTCCATGCTTTGGCGAAACCCTTAAATCCATAGGAGGGAGCAAAATCCACCCTCTTCCAATAAAGGGAGTAGTTTGATGGTAAATACTTAGAGGAATGGCCTATGAGTTTTCAGAATTCTCCTGAAACAAGTATTACTGTAAGCAGAGCTCCTCAGTCTGAACAGTGTCGTTAGAACAGCTTTCTCCTCCACTCGCAGGTTTTTACTGCCCTTCCCGAATGCACCATTAAAGCCTGTCAGCCTAAATTCACAGAAGCCATTAGGGAAGAAATTGTGAAATAGGTTTTGGGAACTCATTTTCAGCTTCGTCAAGTGGCTTTTATGTCCCTTGAATAAGGTGACCTTAGCCTTTGACAGACCGAGATGATCAAGGTCCTCTTTTCTTCAAAATAGTAGTGACTAACAAACCCCTTACCTCCACATGGAACCAAGTATACGCCACACCCAGCATGCAAGTGCGTACATGGGTCGTCTCATGATCTTTGAGTATCTTCTCATTTAGTTTGTTAGGTTATTAAAGTTAATTATGGATTCATAAGTGATCACCTTTAGCTGTGGCAAATTTTTTCTCTGGTGCAGGGTACAATTTGCTAAAAAGATAGAGTATAAGAGGTTTTCAAATTGCATGTTTCTATGGCTACACTCTTTCTCAATATTGCAGACTCCACCTCAAACCTTTTGATTGATCCCATTATTTCAAGAGTCATCAAGTCTAAACTCACTCGTATGAAATAAAAGGCCTTTCATAATTGGCTCCTGCTCCAACCCCATGGAAGCACATAGGGTCCCCTAAGTGCTCCTGGCACCCCCTTGTCTTCTCTGTTCCTTGGCCCAAATCAGAGCCCTCTCACCACTGCACCCAGACAATGCAGTTTCATCCCTCAGCTTATATCTCAGATGCCACTTCCTGCAGGGAGCCTTCCCTTATTTTCCAATTCTGAGTCAATGGCCCATCCTGTGTGCTTGGCATGGTATACTTCTTCCATCATACCATTTATCACACTTATATATTTATTTTTTCTCCTACTGGATCATGAACTCCTTGATGTTACGAATGGTTTCTGGATTAATGTCAAGGCTCACAGTGCCTGGTGGGAAGTAAATGGATGACTAAAGAATCCAGGAGAATTGCTAGTGCACTCAAGGTTCATTCTGACCGTATCTACCGGAGCACTGTGGGGCACCACCCAATAATCTACAGCTCAAAACTTGAGGTAAACCAGGTGTTAGGCTCTTACTGTCTCTTTCAGACCTGCACCCACTGAGCATCCGTTAGGGTTTGCCAGGCGAGGAGGAAGCTTCTAGGAGCTCTGCCAGGAAGAAAGAAACCTGGGTGTGGCAAGACCAACATAATGATTTCATGGTTGGAATTTATGAGAGCTCGCTAGGGAAAACAAATCGCTGTGTGTTCGATACTTTACGAGCCTTCTATAAATCCCTAAGCATCATTTTTCTTATTTATTAAAGCCACATATCATTAGACCCACTATTTCCCCCAGAAACTACCTTGATGCTTAAAAAATAATACAAAGACCAAAGAGATAACAATTAATTTCATGTGTTACCTCTTCAATCTTACATTCATTTATTCATCAAATATTTATCTACTTTGATAAGTCACTATGCTAGGACCTAGGAAATATAAAGACAAGTGAGGATGGAGGGGATAATAAGAAAGGTGCCGAAAAGGTTCAGAGTGGTGATGTGGCATGCTCACCACTAAATTCAGAAAAGGAATATGAGGAAAATCTGAGACAGCTATAAAAGAAAATGTGGACTTTTAATATAAAAATGAAGTATACAGGCATAGATTCTAAGTACATAGTTTGTCCAAAATGTGATGCAGTAACTCCTGAGTCACTACAGGGTAAACTGCAGTATGATAACATTTTTTACCCAGTGTGCCTTATAAACATTTCTGCTAAAACAAGTTGAGATTTTCCAGTTTTGAAATTGAGGACCACTTCCTTATCTTTTCAGCCTTCTCAAATAATCCTAAATATGAAATACCTTATGCTAAGATGTTTCTTTCATTTAAGGTGATCTGTAATATGGTTTGACTCGGTGGTCACCAAACCTGGGTCTGTTCAGAATCGCCTGGGGTGACCCCAACGTGACTTCTGTGACCTAGCTCAGCCCTACAGCAATCAGACTATCTGTGAATAGGCCCAGCTGTCTGTCCAAAGACAGGACCTTCTGATGTGCAGCCGTGTTCATAAATACCATGTAGGCATTCTCCAAATCCAAAAATATCAATCTGATGGTAAAATATGAACCTCTTAAAAGCTTATCTATGAATGTGAAGGTGTTGGGCAAATTATTTGGTTCAACTATATTTGGAGGTCTCTTGCAACCTACAATACATATCATTAGCAGGTAGCTAATGAGTTCTCACTCACTGTAATTTATTATCCTTGGTGAGTTCAATGTCTGTGTGGACGGCACACCTAATACCTGAGCCTCTCCCTTCCCTGACTTTGCTTCAATGTTTTCACCTGTACCATCCAATTGTTTCTTTACCCCCATTCCCTCATTCATCCCTTGGCCATTACTGCAGCCTACCCCCTGACGGGAATGACCTTCTACCCAATACAGTTACCAAACAGGCATATCTAACACACACACCACCAAATTCTCAGAGAAAGGACACCTTTTCTGTAGTATTCAGCGCTGCAGCTTTCAGGCTTTTATCAAAGTGTCCAGGACACAGGAAGTACTGAAGTACAAGAAAATATTTGTGATGAAAATGAGTGAATCTGGTTCCTTGGCTTCTCAAACTTCTGGATTGACCCCTCCCCAAATTCTGTAGACCCCCTGTGAAATCATAGGCTGAAACTGTGCAGAAATCACTTCTTTATTATTCTCACTTTAATGTACAGTCACCCACTTACTACAAATGATCCATTTTTTTTTAGTTGGCCAACAGTGAATGCAGTACATCTGGCAGAGACAGAGAGTTGTTTTGGTTTGATTTTGTCTTTCTTTTGGTTGGTGTTCTTTTGTTTTTGCTGTTTTCTTCTCTTGGGGAAAAAAAGAAACACATGATTTATTATTCCAGAAGTTTGAATTCTGTAGAAATTCTTCATTGCATCTCGATTTGATGAACCAGGAAAGGCCAGGGCTGCCTGGGTCCGTTGATTCCTACTGTGGGAATTAGGAACAGCAGTGTGGGAATGACGGGCTCCCTGTGGCTGGGCCCAAGGCGGAACTGATATATCTGCTGTTCTCACTTGAATGACTTTACAAGACATTAGCAGAACTTAATAGGCTAATTACATCCCTTCACTGCACCTACCCTGGAATCAAGTTGCTCACCCTGAAATCTGATATGGGTATTGTGAGAACAGGGAACAAGAAAACCAGTGTATCCAAACCAAAATCAGCTTCTCCAGTGTCCCACAGCTTTTCTGACAGGTCCACGGTTTAGGTTTAATTCTTCGTTACAGAGTGTTCTAGATTGGGTGCTCTCCAAGTTCTGAGAGGGGGGGAAATATTATACTGATAATTCTATAATGTATTATTTAGGGTGTCACACAAAGGCTATTGATCCCATAAACAGATTTATGTTGGAAAAGAGTGAGGCAGGCGTGGGAGAGGGTGAGGGGAAATTGTAAGCAAAAACACACAGTTTGGAAGAAGAGGCAGAAGTGAACAGCTGTCAGGAATGGATTACTATAGACCAGGTATCATCTTCCATCTCTTTCTTACCAACTGGATGCTTCTCTTTTTTAAAAAGCTGAGAGATAATTGACCCATAACATTGTATTATTCAAGGTGGACACCAGAGTGATTCTGCATTTGTATATGTTTTGAAATGATCACCACAATCAGCCTAGTTAATATCCATCACCATCTACAGTTACAATTCTTTTTTCTCTTGTGATGAGAACTTTTAATATTTATTCTGTTAGCAACTTTCTGGCTACTTCGTTTGTTGTTTTTGTTCACCTCCAGCATTTCCCACAAGTTTGTTCAAAGGAATATGAGTTACAGAAGCCATTACAAGGAATTTAAGGGACTGGGGGCTTTTAGGCACTGCAGTGAATATTGCCTATATATCTAATTATATAAGATATAAAAATTAGATTATTGATTTAAGTAAATTAGTAAAATATGAAAATCATATAAGATATATATATATATATAATTACATATTTGCATATTCATTTTAGGCATACCTGGGTTTTCATGAATAGTTTCGCTTTTCACTTGTCATACCAATATACTAGATCCGATTCCATTATGTATCAATAAATAAGGTGATGAGGGCAGTGATTTTGCCACCATGAAAATGTTATACAGCATCCCTTGGTAAATTGTGCTGCTTTTCCCAGAGCGTTGCTCGGGACACCAGCACACTCGCCACGCCTTGCCTCCCTCAGGCGCCTTCTCCGATAGCTTCTGAGTTTCTCCTCAGT